GTCACGGGACAAACCCAACATGACCGTGCAATTTTAATTCTGAGATCCAGGACAAAAGCCACAAGGAAAAAAATTTGCCAATATAAAAATGTACGTTCCCAGACTGAAAGAGATAAGCATTTAATAATTGGCAGAAAGCAAGCAGCCTTCCAGTAAGTGTATTAATTTTAATTCCTCACCAATTCTAATTGATTAGTAATTAATAATAAAAAGAATGACAGTTAGATGTACAAAAAATTGATTGATTTAATAATAGTTAGGTCAGATATTTATTTAAACAATTATAAATAAAAATATTAAATATAGGTTCCAAGTTATATTAAAAATTTAAATTCCTTATCTGTAATTAAAACTTTTAAATTATTTATAAAAAACTTAAAAATTTTAAATTTATAATTATCTGAATCAATATTTATAATTTATTTTAAAAAAAATTATTAAAAATTTAAGTGTCATTCTCTCTCAATAAATAAAATAGTATTCATAAACTATTAACAGTATGATTCATTCTTCTATGGGTAGACATTTGACGCAAGCTGAAAATTTTATATTTTATATGATATAAAGATGTGTGGATATAAATGCCTATATCTAGATACCCATACCCACTACTAATGGCAAGTTCTTCTGATGGGACTACGAACGTAAGGTCTAAGATTTGAATCCTCTATTACATTGGGATGTGGGAATCTGAGTTTGTGAACATAAATTATTAATTATATCACCTACTATAATCTGAAGTTATCCAATATGAACGAAGGAGATGTGATTGGTCTATTTATTAAAAAAAAAAAACAATACAAGTGGTACAATTCTTGGACCAATTAAACAAAACCGGATTGAGATTGAGCCCTGGCGTATTGACTAGACTGCGTTGTGCAATAATTTGAGTGAAGCAAATGTTGGAAAAATCAATGCCACCGTTGAATACCTCTTTGACATTTAGGCTAAGTCCTTCTATTTCCTTTCCAATCACGCCATCTAATTAGCCTTTCCTCATCATCGACTTTGTGCATTTCATCTAATTATATTCATCCCCTGCTCTTCATTTTCATACTAGTTTATTCAATTTTCCTTTTCTCACTTGGATTTAATTTGCTTTTCTATAGAACTTTCAGAGCCACACTGATTCATTGTTAATGCCAAGTCACGCTCTGGCGTTAGCTAGGTAGCTAGATTGAAAATGAAGAAACCCCCTGATTGATCAACATTATCAAAATTCAAAACTGAGTGGACCACTTTAATTAGACTCGATCGCTTTGTCTTTTCCCATTTTTCTTATTCTTTGATCAATAACTCAACCATCAATTGATCAATCTATGCGTTTGTTGAGGAAGAAATGGTGATGATGGCAATAAATGCAGGAGAAAATTCTACAAATCTTTAATAGTCTTCTTCTTTTATTAGACCACATAATTATAAGTCGCACTCTTGGTAGGGATATTAATTTAGATTTCTCGCCCACGTCTAGCCAGTTACGTTTGACAATTCTTTTGCCTTCCAAATATTCTCTCGTTTGCGGGGAACAGCAGGCACGAGACAAAATCTAACTTCATGTTTAGATTAATTGCTTAGAAATCCTTACTCTATTCTAAATCATAAGACACATTTGAAAAAGATTTGTCATCTTAAAATATAAGACACTTAAAAAAATTAAAATATTATTAAATATATTTATTCCAATATTGCACACTCTCTCTCTATTTAATACTAATTAGGTGTGGATTTAAGGTTATTAAATGAAGAGTATTTTTAAAAATTTATATTTTTATTTTTAAAAAATAAGATTGTTAAATGTATTTAATGAGGATTATTAATATGCAAAATTTTATTTAAAAATATTTTATAATTTAAAATCGGAGGAGTAATAAGCTTTCTTCTCATTTTTAACACCATAGACAAGAATGAGAGACGACGTGAGCAGTGAAAGGAGAGAAAGAGAATTGAAGTGACCAAAATTTTAAATAATTAGATTAATATAGAAAAAATTTAAAATTATAAAAGAATTATAATGAAGCATGGATCTAAATTTAGATCAAATCTAATTTTACAAGTTTTTGTGCATCCAGATAAAAAATCTGACCAAAATTCAAATCTCATTACATTAATTGAAACGCAACTTAAGTAAATTTGAAGTCATTGGATTTGTGATGAATTTTAGCAAATTTGCAACATAATCTCATTGTTTTTGTCATCTTATGATCAATATGGATCAATTATTAATTGCCAAAGGGATCATTGCAATGGGACGTTCTACCAGAAGAATATTTTAGATTGAGATGCCAAATAGTGATTAAAGTGATTTATGCATAAACTCCTTCTCAAGATAACTAATCTCATTCTGCTAATTAAAAGTAAGTAGGCCATGGAAAATATAATAATAGACTCGCACATGGACTTTTTTACTCAAATGGCTGACATATGGACTCCACCAACATCCTCTTTTTATGTGTTTTACAGATTAAAAATCAATTATTTCATGCTTTTTATGATATAAAATCCACCATTCACCTTCAACAAAATGAGAGGAATGAGCATTCATGGGAAGTAAAAAATTTATGGTAACGTTTTGGATTGATGAATTTAAAATTTATCATTCAATTGGCGAGGTGTTAGAATGAGAGAAGAAAGAAGATGTTTGAGTGATAAAAGTGCTAATATTAACGAAAAGAATAAAGAATTGAAGTAATTAAAATTTCAAATAATTATGATGCGAAAGGAATTTGAAGGTATAAAAAAATAATAAAATATGGATTTAAATTTAGATTGATCAAATTCAAATGTATAGCTTTTTATGTGTCCGGAAAAAAGATTTAATTTAAATCCAAATTTAAACACAACATAAAATATTTTTCCTATAACTCATTAAATTAAAATAACTTTGATTCTGCGTGTACAGTTAGTTCATGTACTTCAACTTGAGTAAATTGAAATGCTGATAACAAAATGCAGTACTAGTTCTTCAGAAATTGTGAGATGTTTCGTCAATTGTCAATAACTAATCGCCGTTGCCACCCATCATCTCTCTTCTTGTTAGTCAATGAGTGGAAGCCCTTAATTCATTATGACGATGGGCATGGTAGGTGAGGCATTTACTAGTTTGTTTTTTACTTGAAGACTTAAAAATTAATTTTCTCATTCATAAATTTACAAATTTAAGTGACTTTCATCACTTGGATTATTTTTAGTACTTGAATCATGCAGGCTCGTGTCTTCTGTGGCAAAGCCCTGTTTTTTCCCATCATGTTTCAGAAGATTTCCACTCTCTGGGATTCATGATGTGCTTCCTTGGCAAACTATGCTGTTGAGATTCATTATTAAATTAGGCTCCATTTGGTATCAAATCACACGAGAAAATTAGAAAAGATAATGCCCTTGTTCTCATAGGAAAAAGAGTAATAATGAGAGCACATAAGCTTTTTGTTGTTTTATACTACATGAGTCTTAAATTATAAAATATTTTTAAAGAAGTTTTTTTATCCTAAAATATAAGGCACTTTAAGTAGATTAAAATTTTATTAAATGAACCAAATCTAATATTACTCTTTCTCTCTCAATAATTAATTTTTATCACTTTTCTTTTTAATATATTAAATTATGGGTATTCTGAAAAGTTTATATATTTTTCTTTTGAAAAGATAAGGTTGTTAAGTGTATTTAATAAAGTTTATTAATATGTAAAATTTTATCTAAAAGTACTTTATAATTTAAAACGAAGGAAGTAATTTGATACTATTTTCAAGAAATAGCATTATTAATTGTTTATTATAATTTTTTCCTTTTTATCTTAATTAAATGTTAGTGTGAAAAAATATGTATATTTCATAAAAGAAAAGTTGAAAACTTATACAAATATTAACGAGAATTAATAAATTTTAAAATTTTTATTGATTTCGATGAAACATATTAATTATAACTTATAAATATGATTGGAAGGAATGTCTGTTTTTTAAAAAGCATTTCTTCCTTCATTAGTGGCATTAGGAGGGCTTATGATCAATTATTATTTTTACTATTGTCCATTCACTTTGATTTTTATCATAAGGCACATTTAACTTCTCACCAGAATAAAAAAAAAGTGGTTACTCCTTCTATTTAAAAATATAAAATATTTTTAGTCGAATCTCACCCTCAATAAAATAATTACCTACTTTTTAAATAATTTTATCTTTTCATATTTATCTTTATTAAACATATTATAATAAATATAAAATCAATATCAATAGGAGCATTTTTTTTAAAAAAGCAATGATTATATTTTAAAAAACTAAAAATGCCTTACATTTTTTAACATTTAACTCTTTCAAAAATATCTTATATTTTTTAACGGAGGGAGTAAATTATTAATTTTATTTAAAAATATAATGAACTTTCAATTTTATCCCACTTTAAATATTTTTTTAATTTACATTACATTTTTTATAGTTAATGAATTTAAATAGAAGTAATATTAAAAAAAATGTAATTAATACTTAATAGTATGTGTTATATTAAGAATTAAAAAATATTTTGAAAAAGTACCTGTAACAGACCGGAAGAAATATGTATTAATTTCAAAATTTTAATAAAAGGAGAATGATAATTAATGACTTTGTAAGGGGGTTTATGTAAAATAAGGACGCCCGAGAGACAAGTACAAGGGTTTGAATGGTTTTCAGACGATCATTTGACATTAATTTCTTTGCGTCGTCATTCTCGCTTAACAAAATTTGAAATATGATAAAATGTTGGGGGAAATATATTTATTTTAAAAAAATTGTAAGAAAGCACACAGAGTACAAACCATGCGGGTGGAATTTGAAGAAAAAGTCTAAAGAAATTGAAAGAGGCATGAATTCAAAATAAGGGCATGATGATGAGTGGTCTGTGGCTACTAAGAAAGTCAATTCTGAGAATTAAAAAGTGAACAACTTCTTTTGGACGAAAGGCATTTCGCTTTACTTTTATCATTACGGGTACGGCCAGCTTCAAGTTCAACCCTTTACGGTTTCTCAACGCGATGACCTCATCTTCTTGTGTCGTTTTGGACTTGGCGCTCCAGCCCCCATTTCCCTGACACCAAGCTCTCGCAGTGGCATTTCCGTTATTTGTCCCAAACTTATGACCCTTTTTCTTCCTTCTTCCCCTCCTCCAGTCCCTCCTCTACTGCATCTCCAACACCAACTCTCCCTTCTCAACACGGTTATCTCTTCCCTCATTTCCGGTCATTTTCTCTCTCTCTCTGGAAATCGCCGGCCACTTCTTTGGTGTTTCAGTAACCGTAACACCGCTCATTTCTCGACTCCGATGTGTTTTCGGTACTCTGAGAGCACCCACAGCTGACGAATGGGTTGCGTGCTTGGAACACCGGCGGATCGCCGAGGCCGATGGTCGGATTCCGGACCTCAGAATCGCCGTCGTCGCGGTAGTCAACGACATTCTGTCACTGACGGAGGTAATGCCGTTGTGGTTAGGAAGGAAGGGCCGGCGAGGGAGAAGGAGATACGGGGGACTCGGCATACAGGCGATTTCCCAGCGACTGTTCCGGCTCCGGAGAGACGTAAGCCTAGGCTTGATCCGTACGCTAAAACCGAACATGGTTGGCCGTCGTGGTTGATGGATGTGGCTGGTGACGCAATCCGAGATTGGTCTCCTCGTCGCGCCAACTCGTTCGAGAAGCTTGCTAAGGTGCTTACTGCTACGAAGCTTAATTCCATATTCGTTTTATACCAATTGGATTTATTGAATCAGAGCTAGTGTGTTTGTCTTGGTTGTTCAGATTGGGCAAGGGACTTATAGCAATGTATATAAAGCTAGAGACCTTCTTACTGGAAGGATAGTGGCACTAAAGAAAGTTAGGTTTGATAATATGGAGCCAGAGAGTGTGAAGTTCATGGCAAGAGAAATTATTCTGTTGAGGCGGCTTGATCACCCCAATGTCTTAAAACTTGAAGGTTTGGTTACTTCAAGAATGTCATGCAGTCTATACTTGGTATTCGAGTATATGGAACACGATCTTGCTGGACTCGCAGCTCGTCAAGGTGTTAAGTTTACCGAGCCTCAGGTACGGCAATTTTTAAACTGGAGAGTATTCTCTGTTAACAGCTGGCCGCGGCGCTAAGTTCAACTATATATATTAGCTATGATTCCCTATGCACTCTCCAGCTTTGTTTTGATTGAGACAAGGTTGATGTTATGATTTTGTTTTGTTAGTTGCTAAATATGTACACAAACAACTTCCATTTTCCCTTTCAAAACTAGTTTAGATACCTTTAGGTGGTATTGTTTCCTGATATGAAAACGAACAGCACTTAACAAAGTATATTATTTTTAAAGTAGCGAGATCAATATAAACGAGATCGAAAACTTTCGTTTTGTCTCAACTTCTCTTGCCCTGTGCAAGCTAGCCATATTTTGAGATTTTCACTATTTTTCCCTGTTAATGAAAAATAAAATATATTTATTTTTTTGTAGTTGTTGTTTGGCTTCATCTATTAAGATGCGAACAATCATAGCCAAAGAACGTTCTTTACTGGATACCGGGTGCTCACACACCAAAAAGAAAGAAGGAAAGAATGTTCTTTGCTTGGGTAATGCACGATACATCTCTTGTTCCAACGCAATGAGCACTTAATATTTTGCTCATGCTGAGAATACCCAATAGATTATTTGGTTGCTACGCGGGAATCAATTTGTTTTATCTACCCCTAATTCAAAGGGGAAACAAAGATTGTACATTATATATGGAGGGTGATTATACCGTGCCTGCGGTTTTTATGTAAATGCTTAAGATTGGTAGCCCATTATTCGGTTCATGAAGTCTTTACACTTGATAATTCATTTAGGACTTATCTTAAAAGAGCAACGCCTTCTAAGAATTGATAAAACTAGAAGGAATTGTCATTCATTTAAAAATAATGTCAGAAAATATCTTACTGAAAGCTGATTTGTTTCTCAGTATATTTCTATGGCAGGTCAAATGCTATATGAAGCAGTTACTCTCTGGCCTTGAGCATTGCCACAGTCAAGGTGTTCTGCACCGCGATATCAAGGGTTCCAATTTGCTCATTAATAATGACGGAATCCTTAAAATAGCAGATTTTGGCTTGGCTACTTTTTATGATCCTGAGAAAAAACAGCCCATGACAAGTAGAGTTGTCACTCTATGGTACCGGCCTCCTGAGCTTCTTCTTGGGGCTACACTCTATGGTGTTGGTGTTGACCTTTGGAGTGCTGGCTGCATCTTGGCAGAGCTGCTTGCAGGGAAGCCAATCATGCCAGGCCGGACAGAGGTTTAAACTTCGAAGCTACTAATTATAAACACTTTCCATTTATTCTTAAAGATCAAGTCCCAGTCTTGCTGCAGCAATTTTAGACATTTTGTTCTTTACTAACAATATAATACTCATCAATGCCTTCTTTGCCGGCAATGGTTTGCATTGCAATTCTAGCATCAAAGTTCTCTTAGTTGCTAGCCAAAATATGTGGGGCAAGCTGCTTTTGTTGGGCCGTGTCACCTTCCTGATTAGTTCACTTTTCATGTCACTAAACATTCATCTTGATGGACTGGAAATATCCATTAACTGCAAGACAGAAACAGGGTTAAAGGCAGAAAGAAAAGAATAAGAAGCAACAGCGGAACTTATTTCAATCATTGGAAGTTGCATTGTATATATTAAGTACGCTTTTGTCTTTGGTAATTGTACCCTCTGATAATGAGATGGTTGCCATTACCAATAAAAAGTTTAGTAATTGAGATTTGCAGTTCAGTTTCCTTTGTCGATTGTCACCTTTGAAATAATTTTATTTGCAATCCAATATTAGATTCCTCCAAATGTACATCCCAGGATGGCATTTGACTGACTTTCGAATTTTTGTGGGCTAGGTTGAACAACTGCACAAAATATTTAAATTATGTGGCTCTCCATCTGAAGAATATTGGAAGAAGCATAGATTGCCAAATGCCATACTCTTTAAGCCACAGCAGCCTTACAAACGTTGCCTTTCAGAAACCTTCAAGGATTTCCCGCCTTCTTCTTTGCCTCTAATTGAAACTCTTCTTGCAATAGATCCAGATGATCGTGGCACTGCCTCAGCTGCTCTGCGTAGTGAAGTAAGCTGTCACTTTGGCATTAAACATATAAGATGTAAATTATTCACTTGTATTTTCTCTCTGCAGTTCTTTGCGACTGAGCCTTATGCTTGTGAACCATCAAGTTTACCGAAGTATCCTCCCAGCAAAGAATTGGATGTAAAACTGAGAGATGAAGAAGCAAGAAGGTTCTCTCATTTTTGCATTTGATAACTTCTGGGCTGATGATTATTTGGTGCTCATAGATGACGGGTGATGGATTTATATTTTTCTCAGGCGAAAAGCTCAATGTGGGAAAGCTAATGCTGTTGATGGTGCTCGAAGAGTCAGAGCACGTGATCGAGGCCGGGCCATTCCAGCTCCAGATGCCAATGCGGAACTGCAAACAAACATAGATGTATGTGAATTATTCTTTTCATTGTTATGTTTGTCTATTTCCCTCTCATTTGACCTCAAATTACTTATTTAAGTTGAAATACAATTTTGACTGCCTTTTTCTTCAACACTTGGTTCAAGCTTTTGTATTCTTTTATGGCTGAGGTCCAGCTTTCCTATTTACTTTATTTACTTGGACTACGCGAACATTTTATGAAAACTTGGCTCAGAGAAACTGTTAAACTGGACGGTTCTTCTCATTGAATCTATTTTCTCCATTAAGCAGCATTTCGTGTTTCTCTATTTTCAGAAGTGGAGAGCCGTGACCCATGCAAATGCAAAAAGCAAGAGTGAGAAATTTCCACCTCCACATCAGGATGGAGCTGTTGGTTATACATTAGATTCATCTCATAAAGGACCTGTTTCCTTTGGTGCGACTGGTGCTTCCTTTGGCTCAGCAATTTTCAATTCAAAACTATCAGGATCTAGAAATCACGCTCCTAGTGCTACAAGACCTCACAAAGGGAGGAAAACTAATAAAGCAGACTCCCAGGTGGCGTCATCATGGAAATTTGTGCGAGCCTTCAAGCCATCATCAATAGGCCCGTCAATGAACTTATTATTTCGTAGCAAATAATCAATTTCCATAGCTTTTGGCATTCTAGAATGAGGATTGAGGCTTTGATGAATCTCATTGGGCAAAGCGGTAGTTTTCTTCATTCATTTTTCTTTCTTGCTCTCATTTTTGGTATTTTATTCTATCTCAAAGTATTTTATGTATAATGTACGATGGAGATCCCTAGATTTGTATATTAAGAAGGATTGAATCCCACTGCTGTACAGTTTCTGGTAACTTAATCTCCATGACCTTGAAACTTGATAGTGTTGCTCCAGCCTCCAAGTTAGAAGGGGGGAAGAAAAAACAAGAAGATTGCCTGCAGGGTCTATTGTATTTCATTTATATGCACTGCACATTATCAATCTTTTATGAAGTCACGTATGATAGTCCCGTCTGGAGTCCTACAGGGGAATTGAGGAAGAGAGAAATTAGAATGGTAGTTTGCAAGCATATCTATTTGAGGACCAATAGAATTCTTCTCAGGTGAGAAAACAAAGTCACTATGATATAGATATGAAATACAAATGTTCCGGTAATTAACTCCACTAAGTTGGGGAAATTTCAAGTTCAATGAAGATCCCCCAAATAAAACAAAAAATCATTGAAACTAGAAATATAGGAACAGAGGGATAGGCTACAAAATGCAATATATAAACAAAAGCTTCTTCAAACCAAAATAGCATGTGGGCTTCGTGCATATTCTTCAAGTATTCGAATTTTGAAACTTGAATGGATGGATCGGGGCTTTATTCTCTGTTTTGTTTTTTGGTTCTGGGGATACCCTTTTCATTCTCTTTTTTCTTCATGCGCCAATGTAAATAAAAATGGTTCAGGCTAGACGGAGTTCCGTTGGAGGGAAAACGATCATGGTACCATTAGGCACTTTGGTCCCGTGTGATTACAAAAAAATATATAATGAAATGAATTAAAAAATAAATATAAAAATGAATTAAATTATCCTTTTTTCTCATAATAAATATGATAAAACTCATTAATATATACTTTAAATGTAGAAATCATCATACCTTTTAAAAATCTCATAAATCATTATTCTCAATTTCATAAACTAAATCATCTCTCTCTAATTCACTATTTTTTATTTTTATTTTAACAATTTAATCCATTTCATTCCAATAACCAACGGGACCTTTATGTTTTCCTCATACCTCATCTACTTCGTCTGAAATTAAGGCTACGCCATTCGTCATAGATATGAAATTCGTCCCAAGGAACTTTCACAGCATGCCAAAATGTGCTGTTAAATCTGAAAGGTTAAGAGTGATTTCACCCCCTGAATCCCTTTCATTATTTTCATGATATAGTGTCGCCCCATGCACTTACAAGAAACCCAATGGAATACTCTATTCTTAAGTTGTTAACGACTCTTCGTACTTTAATGTCAACGTAAATTTTTTAGTACTAGAAATTTTGCTTATTTAATTTTAAAGTTGAGGTATACATTTCTAAAAAAAATCACTATTATTTTGTTTAAGATATATAAGTAGCATTTATTATATTCAAACACAACTAAGTTTCAAAACCATCGAGAACTAAATAAATGGACCAAACAGCACATGAAGTTATGTCTGAGTAACAACGGAAGCACGTGAACGAAATGAAGAGACTGAGCATGTACAATACAGAATGACCTATGCCTTGTTCTCATCCTTCTTTATCAAAACGTTTCTCCCAGAGTCTCTCTTTGTTCCCGTACCCTTTACTAATAACATCCAGCCTACATCCATTCCTATTGTGATGAGCACCTCATGACTGTAAAGATTAAAGAGTGTTACAGGACAGGTGCTTCAAGGGAAACTTCAAAATTATGTTCTCTTCCAACCTACCACTAACACTCGATCCCTTAATCGTATTCAGAAAAGAGAATATAGATTTGTCAACAACTAAAAAAGGTGGGGGAGTGAAGAATTGTCTCACAAGGGATTCATATTCATACTGGACAGGTAAAGACTGCAAACAAGCAGCCATCCTTGGTCTGGACATCTAGACTGCACATGTACAAAGATACTTCATAGCTATCCCATTCATAAATTAGAAGTTGGCTCTAGCCAATACCAACTACTTAAAATAAGTAACGGACTAGCCTTCAGCAAAAAATCCCTTTCCTTTAACAAAATTTAAGCATATCATGCTCACCATCACCCAGGCATAAGCTGACATAATGTCCAGTCAGAGGGTGGCCCAAGCCATATGCATGCCTGCATGCTACTTGATCGTGATGTAGCGATTTGTTCCATGTCTTGCCCAGTAGTCCTTGAGATCCAATGGCATAGATAAATCTCGGCCTTCTGCAGCTACCTTACTGAGCAGTCTTGTAAAGACACTTCCACTCATCTTTCGGCCACCAATTCGAGAATGGCGCTTGTTTGGAAGCTGTGGCAACGGATACATTGACAAGGAGGTGGTACAACAGGATGACTGCCATCCGCCATTTCCCCATTTGTAGCACTGCCGTGGTACTCCAGTGCATGTGCAAACTGGGGGTGGCATGGTAGTTTCATCAAATGTAACCAAATTCAAGCCAACATCCTGTCTGTCCCACTCGGATTTAATTTTAGTTCCTTCAGAAGAAGCTGACCTATTTAAATCCTCACCCATTTTCTTTCCTTTGCTCTTCAACACCTTAGAAGAAATTTCCTTGTCTTCCTTTTTTCTCTTGGCCTGATGAGATTTAACAGCTTCAGAATTTATTACAGTCACAGGGAAGGCCTCAGTTATGGTAGTATCCTTTGTGCTGTATGCTGCTTCTGCCATTTCAACAAGATGGTTTGAGGAATGGTGCATTCGCTTTGATCCACGTTGAATTCCACCACCCAATTGGAAGTTGACAGCATTATCCCGGATTTGAAGGGCAGCAAGGGCATTATCTCGTTCCATTATGGCACTATCCCTCTGAACGAGTGCTTCATCCCTCTGCCGAAGGGCTTCATCGCGAGCAGCCAAGGCTTCATTCTTTTCAGATAACGCTGCATTTCGTTCTCGAATAGCAGCTTCCCTTTCAGCTATGATGGACATAATTTTCTTATTCATAACTAAGGCATTTGGTTCCTTTGCTTGATGTTGAGGAGCCAAATTCCACTGCGCATCCAAATAGAATACATTTAAAAAAAAAAAAAGTAGAGCATGCTTTTGAGGAGGGGAGAACTAAATTTATGCCTTATATTTACCGGGGAATGTGCTCCTCTGTAATAGTCCACCTTGTGCCTACCATTTTCATGTTGACAGCCGTCATCCATCTCAATCCAGATGATTCAGCAGCAAATGGTGAAAGTTGATGTCAAGAAGTCTCAAAATTCTCTAAATCCACAAGTTACAGCTGAAAGAATAAATGCAGTAGTTAACTATCTACATGACTGGAAAGACATACCGAATCTAGATCTATTTTGCCGAATATTTGAAACTCAAAGTTTCAGCTCGCATTGATATAGCATATTTCATTAAATTCATGCCTGACTTATTCCCAAAAAGGCCACCTTCCCCAACTTAATATCCTCCAAATCCTTTTCAACCAGATATAAATACACACACAACATCTTTTAATGCATAATGCACTAAAGAATTTTATTTCCCTTCCACTTGTAATACACATCCTTGACCAAAAAGACTGTATTAGAGGGAAGAATTTAACACAACATTGATAGTTTTCCTTTTTCCTTTTGATAGAAAACACACTAGCAGAAGTTAGAAACATCACTCCTCTAATAACCAACTCCAGGGCAATGGAGAAAAAAACAAGCAGTTCCCTGTAAGACCAATTCACCACAATGAAAGAGACTTATCAGCCATTCAGTCCTCATGATGTTAAGCACTGCTATCCATGAAAAAGGGGAATCATACTACACCACCGTACCAATTTTCAAGCGAACTCCTGTGCAAAAGTTAGTCCTGGGGATACTGTTCCGAGTAAATGTCCCTTGACAATCTAAAGACTGCCATCATTGATTATGACTCCAAACTAACCAACAAATAGAGCAGACAACACCAGTATAAATATAAACTCAAAAGTAGACAAGAGAACCCCCCCCCCCCAAATAATGTTATTATACAAGAAACCAGATGTCATGTAAAATAACTCTCCACGCGTAAGAAAGACACAGCTAAAAGACCAGAGATGTTAAAACATTTCACTACATTTTTCTAAATGTTCTGATTCTAGTTTTGAGTTGAGTTTTCTAAAGGTTAAAACATTTCACTACAACATAGTTGGAAAAAATGTCATAACTTTTTGGGTTTTGATTCTAGCAATTTGTATTGATATACACACATCAATACATTCACAGGCTAAGTGGAGCATTTCACACATAACTATACAAGCTTTTGGTTGAAAGTTGAAAAATCAGACTTTTCATGTTTGATCTTCACATTATGTCAGAAAAAGATATCTAGAGAATTTTAGATCCTGAACTCTCATCAGCACCATGCATAAGCGAAGCAAAGGCATGATTATATACTTCCCCTATAGGAAAATATACTGTGGAGTATGAGGATTTTTTTTTCTCGAACTCGAGATCACACGATTGTCATTGATTGAAAGGTCCAATGGAAATCTTGAATTCAAACTCTAAAGCAAGCCTTCCTCTAGTTGACAGTACTTCTATAACCTCCACCCATGATCACATCAAATAATTTTCCCGGTTCCAAAATTCCACTTAAAACAATTACATGGTATTTGAGTAGGAAAAAGTGAAAAAGAAAAACAATGTTTATACATTCATGCCAAATTTTTAGAACATTAAAAACTTGGAATATTCACTAACCAAACGCCACGGGAAAGTGGAATTATAACTTTGCAGTGTGGATTTGGGATTGAGTGTTCTAGTAAAGAATCAAAAAGTAACTAAACCAAGTAAATAAGCATGATCGATCGAAACTTATAGTAGAGCTACGGTCAGAAGCAGATTAGACCTAGAAAGTTAGAAGCGCAAAGAATTTAAAGCTTAGGGTAAAAAAGAAAGGACAGTTAAAACACAATGAGACAGAAGACTTACAGGTAACGGAGTGGCAAAGCGGCTCGAAGTCGAAACTGAAAGGGTTACCTCCAATTTGATGATAGAGAGAGAGAAACAGAAAGAGAGAGAACAAGAGTCATTGGCGGATTCAATACATCCTATGTCAGACAAGACAACAGAGCCTAAACGACATCGTCGTTCAACTATAACAGCTTTCCAATGACTCGTCAACACCCAACGCACCCCGTTTCCTTACCCTATACTTGAACTGCTAGTGTCTAATTTAAGATATATATATATATATATATATTGATGGATACTAATGTAGTGGAAATTTTATGTTACCAGAATAAGAAAAAATTGAATCTTATCTTTTTTTATGTAAAATAAAAATAAAAATATTTTCAAAATAAACTTATTCTCATCTAACGAATTAAAAATATTAATTCTTATTTGTAAATGCTTATTTTAAAAAAATTACAAAATAAGCAAAACTAGTACTAATCCCAGATTTTTTTTTTTTACTTTTCTTTGGGCCACATAACAATCTCTGAGTCAGAATAACACAATATGGCTATCCAATATGCATGAGGTCCCTTCAGCCCATAAAGTACAATTGCACATGTGATCCTTGGCTTGCTTAACATAATGATAAAATGTTTTACGAGCCTAAGGTGCATAAGGCATCAAATATCAATCGCTATTTATATAATTTCTTACTTCTTGACACTGTTTATAAAAATTTAAAATTTAAACATATTTTTATATATATTTTATAATTGTGTTATGCTGTTCAAACTTAACAACAGTTAACTTGTGAAAGATTGTTATATATTTATATATTACTAATTTTAATATTAATAATTATTTATAACTATTTCACAATATTAGTGGTGTTGACAAATAAATTCCTTCATATGAAACGAGAAGCTTCTCTAAGAATAATTGGAAGACAAAAATGCCCTTTGATTGTAAATGAATTGAATTCGTAAACTTTATGTAAATTATGGTCTAATATTATGAAAAATTAGGAAAATTGTATTAATTCTGAGCAGGCATATTTGAACTTTTCAGGAGATAATATTTGTGGGAATGCGTTTGGAAGGATTTAAAGGGTATGCAATGGCCTTCCTGTGGGTTTAAGCAAGTTGTTGTATAGGGACAAGATGGACCTTAACTGCCCAAGACAGATTCTTGTTTAGTTTTAGTTTGGGCTATTTGCTCCTGTTATGGTCAAAAGTCTAGTAATTTAACACTGCTGTTGGGATATGGATAGAGTGAACGGCACATACCACTCACTCAATAAATATTCACACGGCATGATAATAACTATCAATTTAATCAAATGAATGCTAGAAATTTTATCATATTATATTCAAAAAATTTTAAATCTCAAATTTTTTAAAAGGACAAAGTACATGATGGATTTTCTAATGATGGGAATTGTTTTAAATTTTTGAAGAGAGATATCCATTAATAAATTTCAAGTGTTGCGCGTGAATTTAGACTACTCACATAATCCAAATTTCCATAATCGTGATGATGTATCACAATGCGCAGACCAAAACGTAGCACTTAACTTTCAGCACAGTCAAGCATGGGAATGAGTGTTTTCAAGTGGAGACGCCGCCTTGACTGTTCAGAACATGGTTATTCTTTTTCTTTCCCGGCATGTGCCTGACATATAAAACATTTAAAAATGGCAACTTGTGTTGGCCCCAAAAAATGAAAAGCGTCATTCTAGTGAGGGAAATAATTGGGCCTAAAATCAACTGTAATCCCGTGAACTAACCCAATAAATAGAGGGGGGCTCCATGGGAAAACTTTACTTGGGTTCAATAACAACTCGAGCCGTCCATGCAACGTGGAAAGTTCGTGAACATCTGTAAAGAGAATTCAGCATGCTTTCGCAATTTATAGACTACGGATTTTCTTGCTTTGTTTTTGTGGTAATGATGGAACGCAATATCTAAGAAAAGATCACCGCAAAACCTCTGACATCTGATGTCTCTCTAATGTGAATGCTGCATAGGCAACTTTGACGACCTCAAACAAACACAAACATCATAGTTGGCCCATACGAAAACTAGAATTCATTCTTCATTTCAGAAATAACGATATATCAAGAAACGGTCCACGAAGTTTACAGACTCACCAGCAACAGCTGTCACATATACCAAATTCTATCAAGATCATTACAAATAAAGAAAGCAAGTTCTGCTCATGCATTCATATTATAAAGATGATTTCCACGGAAACTTCTTTACAGGCTAAACTCTAGAGCACCAGCACAGAAGTCTATAGATCTAGACAAGTATTGACGTATTTAAGGGAAGAGGGGTCGGTCCTCACTTGTTAAGGCAACAGCAAACAGGATTGTAATTTTGGGAAACCCAGGACCAGGACTAGGACCATGTGCACATGGTCAAGAACAACTGCACATGTTACTGACAGCTAACTTACGTGGACCTCCACCAAAAGGCATCCAGGAAATGTCCTCACTGCCGTGCCGTTCTAATAATCTAATCTAAATAAATAATCTAAAAAACACAAGCAGGAACGAAGCCGTAGTTACCTTTAGTCAAGAAATTGAGCTCGGAATTGGAAGTCAATGCTAAAAGAGGAAATCAAATCGCTAAAGAAGTCATTGTATCAAGGCTCTACAGGTGTGCATGTGCTAAGAGAGGAAATGTCTAGGATTCAGATTGTAAAATCCAGAAACGAAGCTGTCACTTAACAGCCCCAGGAAAACAGATAACACTCGGAAGCACAAGTAGCGCAGAATTTCAAGCAATTTGGCCATATGGATCAACGATTTGTAAGTTGATCATAAGGCAAGTCTCAACAAATCATTATCTCAAATGTTTCTTCCTTTCTTTTTGGCCCCCAAGCATTAATATTAACACAAAGTGCTCACTGGCAACTGATTACCATAGAACTATGCCATCTCCCCCGGGTCTTCTCTGAATGTAATTACTATCGCATAATGTGAGGTAAAGGCACTTTCAACTAGATTGCAAGAAATGGCTGGCAATCAATTATCCCTCTCCTGAAATCAATGCATCTCAATTACCAATAAACAACTTCACTCCTCAGACTCGCCACATTGAAGTGTAATATGAACAGGTAAAATAGACGGCAATATTTATCACTTATGAGTGCATTTAAAATGAACTAGAGTTCTGTTAGTTCACATTGAACACCATATTTTCAAACAGAGGCCTCAGAAATCATTCTAACGAAACGGAACTTGCCTCTACAAGACAAATAAACCCAAATTCTAAACACAAAGAAAGGGGAAAAAGAACTGAACACAACTATCATACATACATAATCAATGAATCAATTCTTTTTCCTATACCATCGTTAGGAATTTCAAGAATCTGTTCACCTTTAGGGTCTTGCAAAAACTCCCCATATCTTACCACTACCAAGGCTATCCAAGAGTTTCTTAGCACCTTCAACATCCATCTCAACAAGTTTTTGCATATATACACAAGCACCGGCCGCCACCATATGTTTCCTACATTTCTTTGAATGTACAAGCGAGGTCAGCACTGCAACAGGATATTTTTTATCCAAATTCTGTATTGAAGGATCCAACAGTTGAACAGCACTAGCTATACCCCTCTCATCCTTTCGGAAAATTTTTCTATTGCCCGCATACAACATGAGTACTGACAACGCTTTTGCAGCTGCTTCTTTCTCTTCCACAGCTTTGCCATCCAGCATCTTGATCAATGGGGTCATACAGCCACATTCACCCATATCTTTCCTCGATTTAGTGTTGTACATCCCCAAAGCATAAACAGCTCGAGCAGCCGCAGTTCTCACCCCTAGAATTCCGCAATTCAACACACCCACAACTCGGAGTATAAACCCATCAGATACAAGAACTTCAGCAATCGGTGAACTAGAGGCCAGGCGACTCAACAACTCCGCTGCGACTTCAAGACTCCGAACTGCCGGAGCTGAGTCCCAAAAATTCTTCAAGCACTCGATTCCTCCTTCCTTTGCAAACAAAAGTTTTAAACTTTCGTCTTCAGAAATTAAGTTGGACAAGCAACCAATTGCATTTTCTTGCGCTAAGGCAGTTCCGGATGAGGCAAGCCCCAATAGAACAACAATGGTGTTTTCTTCGATAAAATTGTCTCTAATTTCAGGAAAGACAGAAAGATTTCTCAAAACCCCTGCCGCCGAAGCTTGGGAACCAGGCGTGCCGGCTTGACAAATCTCCAATAGTGACGAGATTCCACCTCTAGACCCGATTGCCCTAGCATTCTCTTTGGAGAAACTTAGAGCCTGGAGGGCTATGCAAGATTTCTGTTTGGCAAATCCACTCCCCGAATCGAGAACTCGAACCAATTGATTTAAAAGCAACAAACCCTCGGCAATCAAAACATGTTTGCTACTATCCACCATGGAGACTCTGGAGATAGCAGCAACAGTCTTCTCCTTCATCTCGGGAGAGGCAGAATCCAGTAAGCGGACAAGCACCGGAACCACACCCTGCGCCACAGCTATCATCACATTCTTGTCATCCTCTTCGAGTAAACCCAACAAGGAGTCCATCGCTGAATTCCTGGACTCAGCAGAACCGATTTGCAGACGAGTAATCAAGTTCCTGGATTCAGACCGTACGGCCTCTCTTTTAGACGCGCTGGAAATGACACCGTCTTGCAAAACCCCACTCCTGAACAGAATCTCGCAGTCTTTCACATGGCGATCCAGCTTAGCGAGGACCGAATCAATGTCGCTCTGAGTTTTGAGCTTTCCCTGGGATAAGTTGGGGGACTGGCATTCTTTGGCAAGTGAAACGGCCTCGTTTAGGGTGTGCGCAATGAACTGAAGTAGCTCGAGCGATAGAGAATTGGACGGGTAATTAGGGAACTCAGAGGAGAAATCCGTCAGCTGAGTCTGGAGATCGAAGAGTTTGGCTCTAATTAGAGACCATTTACCCTTAAAGTTAACAACAGTGGGAATCTCATCCAGAAGAGAAGAAAGGAGCTGAATGGACCCGTTGAGAATATCGTTCTCCGATTCTTTCATGGCGGAGGCTCGCAGCTCTGCGAAATTGCAGTAGGGAAAGGGGGGGAAGGTATGAAAGAGAAGCGTACTAGGGTTTAGTCTTTCAGAGCGTCCGTAGTTGTTCAGACTTCAGAGCTCAGACGATGAGAGATGAGAGAGAGAGAAGGAGAGAGAGGGGACGTGGTGTGGGTGTGTTGTGTGCTGATTTTGGGTACAAACAGAAAAAGAGTAGCGGACGGAGAACGTCTAGATTCGGAGTGACACGCGCCTGTTTGGAGCGTGGTCTCAACTTCTTTGTCTGTCAGTTTTGATTCCCGCCACACGATTTATGGTTAGCGCCAGCGGCAAGTTGGCAATTTAAGTATGATGACTCAATGAGGTTTCTAGGGGTGCAACTTCACAAGTATAACATTTTTTTCTTAAAAAAAAAGAAAGAAAGAAAGGTTATAGATTAAAGTGTCCATGAGCATACCCAAATAATTTTAAAATTAATTATATATCATTTATATTTCTCAATCTCAACAATTCTTCACTCCATTGCTCTCCTAGTTTTTCCATTCATTTTTTCGTTAATAGGACTTACATTTAATTTTTTTCAAATTTTTTATTATAAAATATTATATAATGAATCCCACCAATATTTTTATAATACAAAAAAAAAATTCTCTCTCCTCCACTTTCTTTCCCTTTCTCCCATCTCTCTCCCTTTGGCAGCTTCACATTTTCGCTCTCTCTCTCCTCAGAGCTCGTAAGGCGTCGTCGTTGCCTCCGCCCTCCTTTATTGCTAGGTTGCAGGATAGCATTGATTTAGCCTCCACGCTACTCACATTCTCAGCCCCACTGATAATCACATCCTTGGATCGATTTTTAATCTCTAAGTATACATTCTTGAACCTGTCATTCTTTCTCTAAAAGCTCTGTCCCCTTGAACATGTCTGGCCGGCACAAGCACAATGCACCAACATTCCCACGTCCTATGCTTCACTTTGTTGCGAGCAACACGGTGAGTGAGTGACTCCCTTTTCACGTCTTCTTCCATCTCCTCCTTCTTCTCCACGTTCACCGCTGGCTCCAACATCAATATGTTTAGTGTTGACTCCCTTGGTGCTATTCTGTTCAACTTCCCCTTCAACTTTGGCAACACCAACAACACCACCTTCACTACTCCCATGCTCATTGGCACTATGTAGTTGATGTTGAGAGCCTGTGCATGGTGGAGGAAGTAGCTTTTGCAATAGCATCATCAAGCCAAGTATGATGAGGTGAGGGTAGTAGACGAAATGTGCAAGAACAACCAAGTACGATGAGATGGAGGTGGTGGACGAAGAGATGGACAAGATAAGGAGGCTTTAGAATGGGTCGAATGTGAGAGGGGTAGCATTGGAGGGATAGAGGGAGGAATGTCAATCTCACTCCTATTACAATGGAAGCCATAGTTGAGAGCTTCAAAGAGAGAGAGGGAGAGAGAGGAGAGAGGCGGATGAAAGAAGGATGGGTGGGGTGTAAAAAATTAAAACAAATGGAGCAGACCACATTAAAGGAAAATTAACTTTAGGGACATAAGAGAAGTAAAACTTTAAGGTTAAGAGATAAAATTAATTTTTAGTTGAGTTTAAGGTTATTTATGAATTATTGTGTATAATTCAAGAATATTTTTTATTCTTAACCCAAAAAAAAAATTACATATAAGTTTCATTCATACTTAAACTAAGTTGTTAATAAATTTAGAGTAATTAATTGTATTGAGTGGGACTTTAAAATAATTCTTTCTATTTTTTTATTTGCTACCTAAAGTTTTTGCTTTTAGATTAAAAAATATTATCAATGTTTTTATTTTTAATTTTAATATTTTTAATTAGTTTTAATAACTAATATTGTTTCAAAATTTTAAAATGACATATTCATAAAAAATGATATACAAACGTAAATAATTATTATTTTTTAGTTGCTCACAAATATTCTCCTATTAAAGATATTAAATGTAAACACATTTTCTAATATAAATTCAAAATATTAAAGATATTAAATATAAACACATCTTCTAATGTAAATTCAAACGTTAATTTATCATGTATTATTTCTCTTAAATATTTATCAAAGTAGGTTAGTTCATGCGTCTAATTATTTATAAGGACATGAGTTTGTTTAATCATAATATAAAGTAGTTTGAATCATGCTGTTAATATGATCATCTTGTTAGTTAGTAATATCTAAATTGTGAATAATCAATAATCATATCTGATTCATGTAAATTTTTTGTTATGAAAAATTCTTAATATTCATCACCATTATGCTTAAAATGAAAAAAATATCAACTAATGATAAGAGTAACACAATAAATACTATCTCCGTCTCAATTTATAAAACACTTTTAGAAAAAATTTAATATCTCAAAATATAAAAAATTTTAAGAGAATTAAAATTTTATTGAATAAATTTATTTTAATATTATATTTTCTCTCTTTATATAATTTTCATCCGTTTCTCCTTTTATTATATTAAACGAAAGGTGTTTTTGAATATTTTTACTTTTGTTTTAAAAAATAAAATTATTACGTTTATTTAATGAAATTTATTGATATGTAAAATTTTATTCGCAAGTGACTTATAATTTAAAATGAAGGGATATATAATAAATAAAAAAATTATATTTTTTTTATTTTCAAACCAATGGTAAGTAGACTTTTCATTGCTGAAAATAAAAATCGACAAAGATCAGGCATGGCATGTACTGGCAAAACCTAACGTCTTGACTTGCGAATCAATAGAAAAACTCAGAGAAACAGGTGAGATTTATAATAATGTCACCTGCTACAAGTATGAGAAACTATAGTAATATGACGTCCTCATCACTCTCTTAACGATATTTTACGTAAAAAAAGCTCACTGATTCAATGTCTTCGTTGACAAACAATAAAATAAACTTCTTAGAATTGAAATTATTACTTATACTCCTCCTGTATAATTGCGTTGACGGAGTCAATGTTTTCAAATAAATTTGTGGTGGCCATAATTTGTTTAGAAACAACTGGAGAATGAGAATTGGCCTTGAGAACTGAGATATCAAAATAATCAATTGACGCCGACAGTTACCCAACTCACACGAAACTCATGCTTTTTTTTTTTTTTTTTGGTCTAGTTGAGTTTATTTCCTTTTAAAAAAAGTACAACAACTTGTTTTTTCTTTTAAAAAATGAATATCGGAGTACCACTTAATCGCTCATGGCTTGCGCCTCTTGTTCGAAAATTTATAAAGAAATTGCTTTGAATTATCCCCTCCATCTCAATTTATATGATTTTTTTAAAAAACATTAATGTCTTAAAATATAAAATATTTTAATAAAAATAAATTTTATTAATGATATTTCTTTAATATTATCTTTTATATTATATTTTTTATATTTAATATTCTTTCATACTCCCTTAGTTTTATTTATAAGGCAGAAAGAGAAGATTTTATGTCTTATTTTTAAGTAATCTCATTAAGTTTTTAGCACAAATTTCTCCTTTATCCTCCATTAAATATTGAAAAGAAAAAATATATTATTAAAGTATGTATATTTAACAAAAGCAAACTTGAGAATTTATTAAATTTTAAAATAGAGTTAATAAGTTTTAGAATTTTTTTATTTTGATAAAATATGTTAAAAATAACTTATAGATAGGATTAGGAGAGTAAATGAAATATTAATTAGAAGATATTTTTGGATGTTTATATCTCTAAATTGAAAAAATAAAGTTGTAAAATGTATTTAATGAAATTTATTGATACATGTAGTCTTGTCTAAAAGTGTCTTGTAAATTGGGATGGAGGGAGTATAATATAAGATACTAGTGGCTAATTCATGATTCTAAAAAAATATTAGTTTAAATCTTAATTTCTTAAAAAATCATACCTTTTCCATTATACCCTCATTAAATATCATATATAAGTGTTTTGATCATGATAATTGAAAGTCCAATGCATCAATTTTCAAAAAGAGTAATAAATGAAACAAGAGTAAATGATTCTAAAAATTATCCAATTTCTATATTTTGAACTAAGTGGAGCTTCTAAAAAAATGTCATATACTATGGGTTGGAGGGTTTTTTTAGATAAGATATTAAAAATATAAGGTATTTTGGATCTTTTAAAATGTAATTAATGAGATTATTTTTTTCAAAATATCCTTGATTAAGAGGTGCAATTAATAAGATTTTTTAATTGAGACACCATATTAAATAAGGGTGTAAATGAATTAAAAAGGCCTCATAATTATTAACGGTTGGGGTACCTCATCCAAACCACAATATAAGAAACTTTTTATGTTTAATTACACATTCTTTACATGTTTAATTAGAATGTATAATATTTTATGTTTATCCTTATTTAATAGAGTATCACAATTAAAAATCTTATTAGTTACATTTTCTAATTAGTGACATATTTGAAAAAATTATTAATTATATCTTGAATAATTGAAAATATCTTATATTTTTTATATTCTATTTTTTTGAAAAAAAAATGTCCTATAAAATGACAAGGGTAAGGGATTCCAAAGTTTCAAAAGTAGACGAAAACACTAACTTGAGCCTTGAGTTAATAACCATGCAAGTAGTACAACATGAAAACAAAAACAAAAAAAACTACTCCTTCCATGTTTATTTATAAGATATTTGGATTAAGAAATTTTTAGATAGACTAGTTGTATCATTTCATTTATAGTCTAATTAATCAAAATATGACATCTCATAAGATTTTTACCTGCACTTGCTTGGCATTTATTTTATTTATTTGGAAAAAATTGAAGTTCAATTTGGATGAATTATTTTAATCTTTTTTCGTCAACCCTCTCCTCTTTATCAGTAGCTTATCAGCAATCACAGAATCCTTCTCCACCTTGCAATTTCAACATCTTCAGATTTACCCTCATAATTTCTATAGTGACAATGATTCCTCATCCAATATTACCACAACCACAAATGATCCCAACCTCCTTCAATTCTTCAACCGCCTCCAAATTCTAGAAGAATACTAACTCTTCAAAAAAAAAATCGAAGTATAAATTAGTGACAACATGTTGGGAATTATCCACGAAGGAAGTTACGCAAAATTTAGGTTTAATAAGAGAAAACCCATGATTAAAGGAAGAAGAGAGGAGAGGAAGAGATCGAAATTGTTTGACTATACAGGTGACGTGCGCTGTCGAAGGCGACACCAACTATGAGTTCCTAAACTAATCGACGGCGAGTGCATTCAGTGGCAAAGCTTCATTGATAAAACTAAAA